AGAGAGAGAGAGAGAGAGAGAGAGAGAGAGAGAGAGAGAGAGAGAGAGAGAGAGAGAGAGAGAGAGAGAGAGAGAGAGAGAGAGAGAGCTGAATGGCAAGCAACAACTTACTTTGTGGTATCTGTTCACTTCATATGTGTCAATTAGCCTCCGAACGGTCTTAAGAAGCCCATGAACGGCTGCCTCGGCTAGGCCTTTCAGTCCGTAAAGATTGAGCATGTGGTCATACAGAAACTCTCGGCATGTCAAGCGCTCACAGTTGTTTGCATCATCGCTGGCATCAATCCAAATTTTTGCTTGGTAAATACCCGTCAAGAGCTTCGACACCTGTCACAGAGAAACACCCCAGTTCACCAACCACGAGTAGGTCAAAACAGTACAGGATATTATACACGTGGGATATGCCGTCCCTTCCGACAAAAATGGAACATGCTCTCGGTCYCYMYCTCTCTCTCTCTCTCTCTCTCTCTCTCTCTCTCTCTCTCTCTCTCTCTCTCTCTCTCTCTCTCTCTCACGTGCGCGCRCGCTCGCTCACTKGCTCGCACSCCTATMGGCAAAGACCRSAGGCMMGAACMGACCCCMAAGGATAGAGCAACAATAACACAGCGGAAGTCTGAGGTACCAGAATCTGACTCATCAGTGGCTGATGACAAGACTGCACCCACAACCATCATCATGCATCAGTGAGAGAAGGTGCAGTGCTACAAACACAAAAGAGGCCCTGCACCGAGACACTTATCCACAGACGAAGGAGGAGAAGGAGAGCTACAAAGGAGAGGAGGAAGACCAGTCTCCAATACTAAGTCCCCCAAAGTCGCTGTCCGAACAATGTCTCAGTCAGAGGCCGTCGAACGAGCGGGAGAGGAGGAAGACTCCAGAAACACAACTGGAGCGGATCCTCCCACTTTTCTTGTTTTGCATAGGCCTATCTGACAGGCCCCGCACGGGAGCCTGAGAGGAACAAGTGGGCAGGGCAAGCTGACAGTCAATCCTCCGCCAGGGGAGCAATCAATGCTGGTCAGGGGTCCTTCCGCCATATGGAAGGAAGCGTGAGTGTGTACTATGTTGTATTCAATTTTGACTTGCCGGGGGAATAGGAACTGGACTGACGCGGTGAGAGAAGGGACTGATGCTGGATGCGAATGCTGACGCGCGAGCGCCGTTCGGGTAGCGCTTCACCGCGCCCACGTCGCGTTGCCGCTCGACCCCGCGCGGGAGTCGTCGGGAACCATCGCTAGAGTTAGCACTCTCGCCATCGCCCGTACCATGCCGAGCACCACGCGCGCGCGCCCTGTGCGCGTGCGCATCCCCCAAGTCCACGGCGCAAGACGATTGGTGAAGGAACCGGAGTCGAATAGAGGTGGCGCGCTTACATCCGAGCCACCGTGACGAAGGACTGGGAAAGCGATGATTTGAACCGCCATGGGAGCTCGCCCTTTCGCCAAACCCACGGGCGCGTGCCCTGTACGCGCGCACTTCTTCATGATCACCGATTAGGGAAAACTTTCGAGGGATTCTGAGACGTCTTGCGGAAGCGAGCACGCGGCCTAGCCTCCGAGAAGGACGCTTGGTACATCCTTACACATCGGAAGAAAAGACTACGATCTACTGCCGCTTATTCTGGAGCTCCGCAAAGATGAAGACCAGCCAGTCCGAGTGAGAGCAGTTCATCAACCCCCGCATTCCTACTCCCTTCCTCCACCTTCATCTCTTCTCAGTCCCACCTCTATCCCGCTTCCGACCCAACCCCCACGAATCGCGACCCCACACCAAAGATTCTCTCTTAATTCGACCCCACCTCCACCTCCACCTCCCTCTGACTGACTCCTATTCACCTACTCCCCAATCGCTTCTCTATCCCAACCTCTCTTTCCCAACCTCCTTCCTATTACTCTTTGATAGACTCAACCATACCTATCGAGTCTCTCCCCAACATCTTCCTACCTAATCTCTCACCTGACCCCAACCTGACCCCGACCTCCCCCAGTATGCCACTTGTCCCGTCTCAGCTCGAATTGTACCCATCTCTTGCTCGCCCCTCATCCCCAGTTCCAGGACCGCCCTCGCACATTCCAGAATCGTTACCTTGCCACGACGCGCACTCTCAATTCGGACTACCTACATACTAACATCCTTCGTGTTCATTCGTGAGCGTGAATCCGACTCCTTTCGTTCCCTCCCTCGTTCTCCATACCGACCTCACTCTTGCTCCCAGCCTCATCTCCGCTCCGATTCTACCCATCGCCCCACCTCGACTCCAACCAATCGTGACCTGGCTCACTCACGACCCAATCTCGACCCCACCTCGATCCGCCCCGTTCCCACCCTTGTTCCAAATCGAACTCGTTCACTCACCTCTCTGTTTCTCCCCCGTCCTCCTTCCTTACCTCGACTTTAATCATGATCTCGACCCCGAGTCCAACCAAAATCCCAACCTTCTTTCCTCCCGCCCCCGATCCAGATCTCTTCAAGGCTCCCAACCTCATCTCCCCCCTTTCCCAACCCAATTTCCCTCCCACCCTAGAATTGTTCCCAACTACGGCCCGTCATCACTCCCCTCCTAACCCGATCTCAAGTCCAATCCCATCCCACTTCCGAATCA